GCGGCATCCTCAAAACCATCTGCTTGATTTGGCCAGGCGCGCGACGCAAAGACACGGGGTCGTCTGCGCCGACATGGGCACGTACGTTGCCCGCGTAAGGTCGCGCGTAAGTGCCCTCGCTTCCAGCGTGGCGTTCCACGATGGCGGCCCGCGTAAGCCACCGCGTAAGGTTGCTGCGCCATCTCGTGTAATACTCCTTTTTGATTGTCGCTCAGGCTCGGCCACGCGCAGAGGGGGGCAGGGGGAGGGGGGAAGGCTTCTTAGAAGCAGGGTGCTTTTAAGAAGCCTTCCCCCCTCCCCCTGCCCCCTCTCGCACGCCGCCAACCGGTGAGGCTTACTCGGCGTCCCGAGGCTGGCAAAAGGGAGTGGCGCCCGGGACGTCGGCCAGTCGGGGAGGCCCCGAGCCGACTGGGCGATGGACGGGCGCGGCAGGCCACCGAGGTTTCGCGGGGTCGGACCGCTTCTCGGAACGCTTTCCGGGGTCGCTGCTGTTGTTGTTGTTGAACATTATTAATTCTAAAGAATAATTATTGTTGGGACCCCTGGTGCACGGCCCCCCTGCGCCGCCTAGGCCGCAGCTACATTTTCATCATTTTCGTGAGGAAGCCTCAGGTAATTCGATGTGATCAAGATCCGGTTGTTTTGTTCCCCCCCGCTTTCCCTTGCAAAAAACACTATAAAATGACATTTCTTGTTCTAATATAATCAAATTTCAAGAATCCCTTGCAAAAAATAAGGTAAAGTGGACATTCGCGCGCGCAAGACGAAATCCTTCCAAAAGCTTAGTGTTCGGAGCGATTTTAACATAAAAACATCAAAAAACCAATGGTTTTTCAACAAAAAAATGTCAAAATCTCATCCCGCGCGCTCTTGCGGATTCGTAGGAAACCCAACACTTTTTAAACATTTCTGTCAAACGGGCTTTTGCGAGCAACTTTTTCGAACTTCTGCGACAACGGTTGCGCACCTGCCAGGGCCATCATCCCTGTCAAATAATACCATGCGGGACACATTCGTTTTTTTCTTCGCGCGCGCACGCCGAAATCTCCAAAAACCATTGGGCTTCTTAAGAATTTTAGCACCGCGCATCATAAAATCACACGAATCGCACCGTAGGTCCTCGAAAAACACCTGCACGACTTTTCAAAATTTCCACCCGCGCGCGCTGTCCGAATCCTAAAAAAACCAATGGTTTTCCCAACGTTTATGTTACATGAGCTCGCGCGAGCTACTTTCGCACGCTCTTGCAACGGGGTTCGCGCGCCTGCCAGGGGCCACAATCCCTTGCGGTTGCGCCATAGGTTGCGCCCTCGGCCGCCGAGAATAAAACGTCCCCCTATTGGTTGCGCCATAGGTTGCGCCCTCCACGCCAGTGTAGTAGCCACGGTCGTCCGCAGGCCACGAAGTGAAGTGTCCGAACGTCATAGGGCGGGAAGCTGGGTGTGGGTGGTGGCGAAGAGTCGTGTGGATAT